GCGGCGACGGCATCCCGCTCCCCCCCTGCCCAAGCGGCGACGGCGGAGGATCCAGCGACGGGAGGAGCGGTGGCCGCTGAGGAGGTGCGCGTCTCGGCCGGGCTCCCCCGCGCCGGACCATGTACTCAGCCCACAGGCCCGTGGTGCCCGCGTCTGGCACGGCCTCCCGTGGCCTCGGCATGTTCGGTCAGTATCACCCGCTCTCCGGAGCACCTAGAACCGCAGGAGTCAAGGTGTCTGTGTGACAAGTGCAGAGTAACAGTGATGGGGGCTTGGTGGGAAAATGGCAGAGGCAGAATGGAGGGGCAATGGAGAAAGTTAAAGGGCTGGGCAGGGCCAGGTGTTTAGTGACAGCAGGTGGGAGCTGTGCGGATTGGTATGAGGAACGGGGAGGATCTGGGGACAACCCACGGTAGGTAGATGATAGATCTCTTGTAACTGGAGGTGCAAGGTGCAGAGTAAGTGGCTTGTGGGACCTGAGAGCTGGCTAGGCGGGAATGGAGCCTTAGGGGCTGTGATAGGCTGAGGATGGGCGTGGAGGAGAGGAAGAGACTGAAGGGATCTGGATGGTGGTTTTTACCGGGAAGGAGGGCAGAAGGGGTCTTGCTAAGATCTGCCCCTGTATTGTTTTCTGAGGACTGGGCTCCTCCTCCTCCAACCTCCTAGAAAGTGAGTCGGTCCTGATGAATGCTTTGTGAAGAAAGGAACAGGTCCAAGTCCCTAGGCACTATTACTAGGGGTTAGAGGGCTCTGTGCCCCAGGGGGAAAGAATGGGGTCATTAGAGGGTCTTGAGCATCTTCTAAGACTGTCTTCCATATTCCCCTCCCACTTTCTTGGTAGCTACTTTGTTGTTGTTGATAGTGAGCCCCTCATAGAGTCAGGTTTCCGGGCTGGTGATGCCTCACCCAGAGCTCTCTCAGGCCATGATACTGATGGTATGGGGGCGGGGGCCAGTCACCCCAGGTCAGGTTGATCAGGACCAGGGGAAGACTTGCAGTGATGGAGATTAGGGCTAGGGCGTTTTTCTCTTGTCTTTATTGATGTCCCCTTAGCGGGGGCCTCCTATGTTTGTTCCACTTACCCCCTGGAGCCAGGCAGTCAGAGGGGAAGCCAGATCCTAGCTAAGACTGCCTTAGGAGTCTCGCCAGGGCTTTGGCCCAGCTCGTGGCTTCTCCGGGCCGAAGGTGAGAACGTCGGGGCTGGCCTCTGTGGTGAGGGCAGTACCTTTTTGTGCATGTTCTTAAGGAAATACCTGGTACTTTTGCCTACCTTTGGTTGAAGCTCATAACAATTTCTTCCTGTCCCATTGTCTGTGTGTTGTCTTCCGATGAGTTTACCACACCCTCTCTTTCTGGGCAGAGGGGGCAGGATGGACTTGGGGGTTGGGGGGCCATGTACACTGAAGATAAGCTCAGAGGTTTAGCAGGTGGCCTCTTCAGGGGTGGTGGGGGCTGCTGGAGCCAGCCTGTGCTCAGCCCAGGAAGAGCCGTTCTAACTCCCTGGGGTCTGCAGTAGAGGGAGGGTAGCAAGGAGAAAGACCTGAGACTCCAGGCCTTAAGCTTAATGGGCAGACACTCTGGAGAGGAGGTAAGGCTCTTCTTGGGGAAAGGAGCTGTATGACCAAGGTGAGGAGCTGACAAGGTGAGGGAGAGAGGTTTGCTGGGGATATAGCATGGCTTGGCGGAAGGGTGCTTCCTCAGCATGGCTGAGGTCTTGGGGCCTTGGATTGTGGGATGGTAGCCAAGCATGACCTGGTTTGTGGCAGGAGCGGTCATTCTTTGGGCCTGGTCCCTGGTGGCAGGACTGGTGGGGGAGGGGTATGAGTAGGATTTCTCTTCCCTGCTTCTGTTTTCTTTTTCGTAAACCTAGAAGGCTTTCATTCAGGGAGGAGTCTTTCCCAAGTGACATTGCAGGGACAAACTCACATGGCTTTAAGATTGGGAAGGGGTGGAGAGAAAGCTGAAGCCAGCTCCTTTAGGGTGGGGGAGAAGAGTTTGAGTTGAGGGTCAAGGCTAAGCTCTGCTACCCAGTTCACCTGGTCACCTGGCTCCTTCCCACAGTCTGGACCAACGTGGAACCTCGCTCCGTGGCTGTGTTTCCTTGGCACTCCTTAGTTCCCTTCCTGGCTCCTAGCCAACCTGATCCCTCCGTGCAGCCAAGCGAGGCCCAGCAACCTGCCAGTCACCCGGTGACCTCTAACCAGAGCAAAGGTGAGGGGGGTGTGGGAGGTTGCAGGAAGGCATGCAGGTGGGCTCTAGGTGACCCAGGGACCCTCTGATCTGCCTCTCTGTCCCCAGAACCTGCAGAGTCAGCATCTGTGGCTCATGAGCAGCCACCCACTGGGACAGGAAGTGCTGACTCTGGGCGACCCCCTGCTGCCACATGCCCTGAGAGCCCGGGGCCTGGACCACCACACACTTTGGGGGGGATTGAACCTGGCAAGGGCCCCCCTCCCGCTACTGAGGAGGAGACCCCTGGTCCCCCAGGAGAGTCCCGTCTGGATAGTGAGACAGAGAGTGACCATGATGATGCGTAAGTGCCCCGAGGCCTGGGACTGAGGTGAGGGTGACAGTCAGAAACAGAGTCCTCACTGTCCCTGTCTGCTGTCCCACTACAGCTTCCTCTCCATCATGTCTCCTGAGATCCAGCTGCCGCTGCCACCTGGAAAACGCCGGACCCAGTCCCTCAGTGCCCTGCCCAAAGAACGAGACTCTTCTTCTGAGAAGGACAGCCGAAGTCCCAACAAGGTGCTTTTTCTCTACCTGCCCTCCATTCAGCCTTGTGTCCTTGCTCCCAGGCTGTCCCCTCATCCCTAACCATCCTCTTTTGGGTCTCACTCTCCCACAGCGGGAGAAGGACCATATCCGGCGGCCCATGAATGCCTTCATGATCTTCAGCAAGCGACACCGGGCCCTGGTCCACCAGCGGCACCCAAACCAGGACAACCGGACTGTCAGCAAGATCCTGGGTGAATGGTGGTATGCCCTGGGGCCCAAGGAGAAGCAGAAGTATCACGACCTGGCCTTCCAGGTAATGGCCTGCCTCCTCCCTCCTGGGGCCATTTTGGCGGCTTGTAGGGCAGAGTGGAGAAGTGAGGGGTCACCCTGCCCTCCCCTGACAGGTGAAGGAGGCCCACTTCAAGGCCCACCCAGACTGGAAATGGTGTAACAAGGACCGGAAGAAGTCCAGCTCAGAGGCCAAGCCCACGAGCTTGGGGCTGGCTGGGGGACACAAGGAAACAAGGGAGCGGAGCATGTCGGAGACGGGCACAGCAGCCGCCCCTGGAGGTTAGTCAGTCGGTCTCCCTCACCAAGAGCTACCAGCCACCCCCTCACTTTCTCACCCTCTGCTCCGACAGCTCCTTTTTGCCCAGTTGCTATTACCCAAAGATTTACCACAAAGAGATGGGCAATTTTTTTCACATGAAGGTATTTGGGTGGTCTGAACACAAACCCACTGCCATCTAGTAAATTCCAATGTACAGCGAACCTATTTAGGGTTTCCAAGAAAGATGGGAGCAGAAAGCCTCATCTTTCATCTGCGGAGCAGCTGGTGAGTTTGACCTTGTGGTTATCAGTCTAATAACCTAACCCATAATGCCTCCACACCTCCTTTAGAGAAGTTCGGACAAATAAAATTCTCCACTACTCATCTCATCGCCAGCTGCCAGTTTCTTGAATACTTGTTATATGCCAGCCACCAAGATAAGTGTCATCTCTACTACTAAAAACCATGCCCCCTTTTCCAGATAGGCGGTGAAGGCTCAGGGAGGTCAAGTCACTGGCCTGACATCTTAGAACTAGAAAACAGCAGAGCCAAGATTATTGCTGTTAAGTACTGTGGAGTCGGTTCCGACTCATAGTGACCCTGCACAGGGTTTCTGAGGCTGTAAATTCTTATGGGAGCAGAATGCCTCATCTTTCTCCTGCGGAACAGCTGGTAGTTTCGAACTGCTGACCTTGAGGCTAGCAGCCCAATTTGCAACTACTATGCTACCAGAGCTCCTTAGAGCCAAGATGTAAACACTCAATTTGTTTAGCTCCCAAGACAATAGTTAGAACCCACTTCTATTTACTGAGGAAGTACAGTGTGCGGGGCACAGCTCTGGGGTGGTGTTCTGAGTGATCTTGTGGATGTGGCCCCACAACTTGGTAAAGGGCGTGTTTTCATTCTCTGAAATGAGGGTACTGAGGTGAGCAGGCTGGTGACTAGATAGCCTTTCTCTGTGGAAGGGCTGCCTCTTGTTGGCGGCTACTTGCTCCCCTCCCCAGAGGGCAGAACTCGGTCGAGTTGATGATGGGCTGGCAGGTGGAGTCTCTTTCTCATCAAGGGATCAAAAAACCAGCAACGCCCAAGACCAGACGTCCCCATGGATGCCTTGACCAGTCCAGGTGCTGGTGAGCATTTCGGGCTAAGTCCTGCTCCCCTTCCCTCTGCAGTGTCGTCAGAGCTCCTGTCTGTGACAGCCCAGACCCTCCTGAGCTCTGACACCAAGGCTCCTGGAAGTGGCTCGTGTGGGGCAGAACGGCTGCACCCCTTAGGACCTGGCACAGTGCGGCCCCGTGCCTTCTCCCACAGCGGGGTCCACAGCCTGGACGGTGGGGAGGCAGACATCCAGCCCTTACAGGACTTAACTCAGGTCTGGGCTATCGTCCTGCTGGGGGCACACAGGGAGGGCTACCTAAGGTGGCAGCTCTGGCTGAGTCTTCCCTGTCTGCCCCTGTCCTGCAGATGGTTTCAGGCCCCGCATCCTACTCTGGTCCCAAGTCTACCACCCAGTATGGGGCTGCAGGCCCCTTCACAGCCCCTGGCGAGGGGGGTGCCCTGGCGGCCAGTGGGCGCCCCCCACTGCTGCCCACCCGAGCCTCTCGTTCTCAGCGGGCAGCCAGTGAGGACATGACCAGCGATGAGGAGCGTATGGTCATCTGTGAGGAAGAGGGGGATGATGATGTCATTGGTGAGCAGAGCAGGACTGGAGGGGTGGGTAAGGGTTAATCAAAATCCCTGGCCCGTTTTTACTTCATCTCTCAAGATTGCATGTAAGCTCACTTTGAGGCCTTCTTAAGGAAGTCCAGCCTTGCTCTGGGGAGGCCCTGGAGGACATTGAGCACAGTGCTGGGTGCCCTAACCCCATCAGCCCTCTTCCCCCTCCCTCCCACCCCAGCCCCTTTGCCCACACGGGTCCCTACACTCCCACAGCTGACGATGGTTTCAGCACCGCAGACATCGATCTCAAGTGCAAGGAACGGGTGACTGACAGCGAGAGCGGAGACAGCTCTGGGGAGGACCCTGAAGGCAGTAAGGTGAGGGGCTGCGGGTGGAGCTCTCTTCTGTCAAACTTGGGCCCAGAGAGGGCAGCTTTCCTATCCTCTGGGGAGCTGGGGCCCAGCCAGGACCAATGAAGACCTTCGGCCAGTGGAGGTGCCCGACTGACAGACAGGTGGGATGTGCTTCTTACCTCAGGTAATTAAGCCTCCCCCTGACCCCATGTGGCCCCCTTCTTTCTCCCAGGGCTTTGGCCGGAAGGTGTTCTCGCCTGTGATCCGTTCCTCTTTCACCCACTGCCGTCCTCCTCTGGACCCCGAGCCTCCTGGGCCCCCAGATCCATCGGCAGCCTTCAGCAAGGGCTACGGGCCTACCCCCTCCTCGTCCTCATCTGTCTCAGCCTCAACCTCTGCAGCCCCTTCCTTCTCCCTGGGTTCAGGGGCCTTCAAGGCGCAGGAGTCTGGGCAGGGCAGCACAACAGGTCCACTGCGGTCTCTGCCTCCTGGGACTGGGGGCCCAGTGACACCTTCCAAGGCCACCCGGTTCCTCACATCTGATCCTACCACCTTCCGACGCAAGAGACCTGAAAGTGTGGGGGGTCTGGAGCCACCAGGCCCCTCAGTTATTTCGGCACCTCCTGGCGGGGGAGGGAGCATCCTACAAACACTGGAGGACCGGGCGGGCAGTAGAGCCCGCATGCCCTCAGCCCCGGCCCCATCACTGGCCTACGGGGCTCCTGCAGCAACACCCCTGTCCCGCCCAGCGGCCACAATGGTCACCAATGTGGTGCGACCCGTCAGCAGCACTCCTGTGCCCATCGCCTCAAAGCCCTTCCCTACTTGTAGCCGGGCAGAGGCGGCTCCAAATGACACAGCAGGTGCCAGGACTGACACGGGCACTGGAGCCCGAGCTCCCGGGGGCTCCCCACTGGGAGTCAGCTTGGTATACTCGGACAAAAAGCCAACAGCAGTCACCTCCCCAGCTCCACACTTGGTGACTGGGCCTCTGCTGGGCACTGTGGGAAAGGCACCTGCCACGGTCACCAACTTGCTGGTGGGCACCCCAGGCTACGGGGCCCCTGCCCCTCCTGCTGTTCAGTTCATTGCCCAAGGGGCCCCCGGCAGTGGAGCCACTTCAGGCTCTGGGACAGGTACAGGGAGTGGTCCTAATGGGCCAGTGCCCCTGGGCATCCTCCAGCCAGGAACCCTGGGCAAAGCTGGAGGCATCACCCAGGTGCAGTACATCTTACCCACACTGCCTCAGCAGCTTCAGGTGACGCCTGCCCCAACAGCTGCCCCTGGGACCAAGGGAGCAGCGCCCAGCACCCCCGCACCTACCACCAGCATCCGCTTCACCCTCCCACCAGGCACCTCCACCAATGGCAAGGTCCTGGCAGCCACTGCCCCGACTCCTGGCATCCCCATTCTGCAGTCTGTACCTTCTGCCCTGCCCCCCAAAGGTGAGAAACTTGGGCTGGGCAGCACATGGAGAAGGGCTGGAGGCCTGTTCAGCTCTTTCGTAACCTCTTCTTGCTTGTCTCTCAATGTGTAGCCCAGTCAGTGTCTCCTGTGCAGGCCCCACCCTCGGGGGGCTCAGCTCAGCTGCTGCCAGGGAAGGTACTAGTGCCCTTGGCGGCACCGGGTATGCCTGTGCGAGGGGGAGGGGCTGCCCAGCCACTGCCCTTCTCAGTACCCGTGCAGAATGGTGCCCAGCCACCCAGCAAGGTGAGGATGAAACATCCCTCCCTTCCCCGCTGTGTCCCCCACCTGCCCTTCAGCCTCCCCTTCCTGGGTGTTTCTCCGTCTTACCTTTGTCCTTGTTGATCTTTGTCGGCCTCTTCTGTTTCTGTCTCTTTGTGTCTGGGACTTTGTCTTCCTCGACTTCTCCATGAATCTTGGTTTTGTTTCTCTGCTGTGTCTTTAGCTCCTGGGCTTTGTTTCCTCTCTGTCACTCATGCCCCCTTCACTGTTCCCTTTCCTGCCTTGTCCTGATCCCAGATTATGCTTTGAGCTCCCTCCCACACCAGGTCTTGGTCCTCCCTGCCCCTTCCCAGGGCCACAGCTCATCTCCACATTTGACTGTTCTCGCCCACAGATCATCCAGCTGACCCCGGTGCCCGTGAGCACACCCAGTGGTCTGGTGCCCCCCCTGAGTCCAGCCACGCTCCCTGGGCCCACTTCTCAGCCCCAGAAGGTTCTGCTGCCCTCCTCCACCAGGTAATCTTCCCACACCTACTTCAGAAGTCAGTCCAGAGAAGAAAGGGATGGGGTGGGGCCGGCTCACTGGCTCTTCCCTTTACTCCCCTTGCTGCAGAATCACCTATGTGCAGTCAGCGGGCGGGCACGCTCTGCCCCTGGGCACCAGCCCCGCGTCCAGCCAGGCAGCAACAGTCGCCTCGTATGGGCCCACGAGCTCAGTGGCCCTGGGCTTCACCTCGCTGGGGCCCAGCGGCCCTGCCTTTGTGCAGCCTCTGCTCTCAGGTGAGGTGAGGGGGGTTAGGCAGGGCTCTGGGCTGGGGCTGGGGGTAGGGCTGTCTCAGCCCTGACTCATGACCCCTGCTTTTACCCTTCCTCTTTGTTCTATACAGGTCAGACCCCCCTGTTGGCTTCTGGCCAGGTGGGTGTGTCACCTGTGCCCAGCCCCCAGCTGCCTCCTACCTGTGCAGCCGCTGGAGGTCCTGTCATCACGGCATTTTACCCAGGCAGCCCTGCCCCCACCTCCTCAGCACCCCTGGCCCAGCCGTCCCAGGCTCCTCCAGGCCTGGTCTACACGGTGGCCACCAGCACCACCACCCCTGCTGCTACTCTCCTGCCCAAGGGCCCACCGGCCCCCGCCACTGCCACCCCAGCCCCCACCAGCCCCTTTCCTAGTGCAACAGGTGGGTGCCAAGCCAGCCTAGGGCAGGGCCAGTGGGGGTCCCCAGGGAAGGGCTCTAGGCAGGCCTGGCTCAGGTTGTGCTTTTCTCTCTACCTACAGGCTCCATGACCTACAGCTTAGTCCCCCCCAAGGCCCAGCGGCCAACCCCCAAGGCTCCTCAGAAAGTGAAGGCAGCCATCGCCAGCATTCCTGTGGGTTCCTTTGAGGCAGGTGCCCCTGGGCGGCCTGGCCCTGCCCCCCGGCCACCCCTGGAGCCTGGCCCAGTCCGCGAGCCCCGCGAGCCAAGTGGCCCTGAGCCTGAGCTAGAAGGACAGCCGACAACCCCAGCCCCTCCACCACCCACGGAGCCCTGGGCTCCCACAGTCCGCAGCAGCCCACCACCTCCTCCGCCGACTGAGGAGCGGACCAGTGCCAAGGGCTCTGAGGCCATGGTGAGAATCTGGTGGGTGGGGACGGGGGAAGGGGCTCAGCTCTGTCCTTTGTCTTTGCCTTTCTATTCTGCTTCTTTTTCTTGCCCACCTGAGTGTGCCCTTGGGTGTCTATGGAGTTATAGGGTTCTTCCCTATTGTCCCACCTGCTTGTCTGTGTCCCTGTTCCTATCCAAGGTCTGACTCCATGTGTCTGGCTGACTCCGCATCCTTCTGTGATTCTGGGCTCTGCCCTCGCCCCACCTGCTTGTCCTTGTGAGTCTCAGTCTGGTGCCCTCCACCTCTCCCTGCCTGTCCCCCCCTCAGGCCAGCAAATTCCCCAGCTCATCATCAGATTGGCGCGTTCCTGGGCTGGGCCTGGAGAGCCGTGGCGAGCCTCCCACCCCGCCCAGCCCAGCCCCAGCTCCAGCCTCAGGTGGCAGCCTCAGCAGCAGTGAGGGCACCAGTGGGAGGGCAGCCGGGGAGACCCCTGAACGCAAGGAGGTAGCTGGTACTGGCAAGAAGGTGAAGGTGCGGCCCCCACCCCTGAAGAAGACCTTTGACTCTGTGGACAAGTGAGCATGGCCGGGGGAGTCTGGTGGAGTGTGTGGGCTGGGACAGGAGAGTGGGCAGCCGTAGGCTGGGACAGAGGAAGTGACCCTGCGGGCTCTCCAGCAGGGTCCTGTCCGAGGTGGACTTCGAAGAGCGCTTTGCTGAATTGCCTGAATTCCGGCCTGAGGAGGTACTGCCCTCTCCCACCCTACAATCTCTGGCCACCTCACCCCGTGCCATCCTGGGTTCCTACCGCAAGAAGAGGAAGAACTCCACTGGTAGGTTTGCTCTTAGTCATCCAGGTTAGGTAGGGGGACAAACATGGGCCACTGTCTCCACTGAGCCCACCTCTGTGTGACTAGATCTGGACTCGGCACCCGAAGACCCCACCTCTCCCAAGCGCAAGATGAGGAGACGCTCTAGCTGCAGCTCTGAGCCCAATACCCCCAAGAGCGCCAAGTGTGAGGGGGACATCTTCACCTTTGACCGGACAGGTGCGAGGACTAAGTTTAAGTAGCCCTGCCCTGCCCTGCCCTGCCCTGCCCTGCCTTCTGAGGTTGTGGGGAGATGGGAAGAGTGGCAGGTCAGGGCTGGAGCGGGAGGCCAGCTGGCCCCTAAGTTGCCACGTGACCGTCATTGGGCCTTCTCTTTTTGCCTCCCTTCATGATGGGCTTCAGGGAGGGTGTGGGTACCCAGGTGGCATTGGGGAGACTCAGGCTGCTGCTGTGATCTTGACCCCACCCTGCTCCCAGGTACGGAAGCCGAGGACGTGCTTGGGGAACTCGAGTACGAGAAGGTGCCATACTCGTCACTGCGCCGGACCCTGGACCAGCGGCGGGCCCTGGTCATGCAGCTCTTCCAGGACCATGGCTTCTTCCCCTCAGGTGGGCAGGGAAAGCACCTGCTGGGGGCGCTCTGACTCTTTCCCTCTGTCTGCCTCTCCCAACCCCCCATGCTTTTCTACCCCCAGCCCAGGCCACAGCAGCCTTCCAGGCCCGCTACGCTGACATCTTCCCCTCCAAGGTCTGTCTGCAGCTAAAGATCCGGGAGGTGCGCCAGAAGATCATGCAGGCGGCGACTCCCACGGAGCAGCCCCTGGGAGCTGAGGCCCCTCTCCCTGGACCACCCCCCACTGGCACTGCTGCTGCCCCTGCTGCCACGCCCAGCCCTGCTGGGGGCCCTGACCCCACCTCCCCCGGCTCAGACTCTGGTGTGACTACGGTTGCCCCGCTACTGCCTCCACCCCCAGAGCCAGGGACTGGACAGCCTGGCTGGGATGGGGTCCCCCAGCCCTCCCCACCTCCCTCTAGCTCCTCCACAGCTGCCACAGGCAGGTGAGGGGCTCCTGAGATCCCAGAACCCACAATGCCCCCCTCAGGACATGGACAGTATATAGGTGGCAGGAATTGGGGGGTAGGATGGTTACCCCCCCCTTCGTCCTTTCCAGTTTGGGTCGGAATGAGGCCTGCTCTTGTATATAGCTCCTCCCCCCACAGCTCACTCCCCATGATGGGGGGCTGCTGAGGGGAGACAGGGGCCCCTCCCCCGCCCCCTGCACCGAGCGCCTGTACATAACCTGGAGTGTGTTACCTTCAGACCTTTTTCACTTGTACTTTATGCAAAATGGCTCGTGTGAGGGCTGCACGCAAGAGAGGAGCGTGGGCCTTGGGCCACAGGGAGGCACCTGTGGAGTAGGGGGGAGTTCATGTACCCCTTTTTTTCCCCAGAGGGGCTGGACTCAGGTTTGTTTGGGGGTGGGGGTTCCTGCACTTTGCCACAGGCACGGGGAGGGTTCTCTCCCCATCCCCTCTGCCTTCCTAACTTGGGTTGTACTTTCTAAGAAGGTGATTCCCACCCCCCCACCCCCCGCCGGAACAAAACATGTTGATCATGTGCAATATTTCTTACTGTGCCGAAGCTGCGATGACCGAGATTAAAGCTGTTTTAACACACCTGTGTGCCTGACTGCTCCCTTTGGGGTGGGGGTGCCCCCCCAGTCCATCCCAGAGTGGCCATGGCTTTCCTCCACTTTCCAGAGAAAGTACTTGGGGATGTGCCATCCTGTGCTCCTCCCCACACAATAAGAGGCAGAGGGGAACCTCTGACTGGTCTGGGGAAGGCTACTAATGCCATCAAGTTGAAGACAAACTTGTAATCCTGTGTCAGAGATGGTGCTCCATAGGGTTCCCAGTGGTTGGTCTTCTGGTGCCTGACTGGACTTTAACCTTAACCTTTGGGTGTTAGCGGGTTTTATACTGAACAGGAACACAGGGATGCCTGCCAGGAAAGACACTTGACCTTTATTTGACCCTTCCTGGCCCAGGAGTCTGATTAAAAGGCTCTTAAGAGGTCCTAGTCCAGAGGTGGCACTGGATGAGGCCACCAGAGGACTGCTGAGGTGACCCCCTACTTCCCCCATGTGGCTGGAGACAACACTGCAACCAGGCCTGAAGCAACTCTGATGGTTGTGCCCATCCCTCTCAGACCTGGACAGGCACACTCTTAAGAACTATGTGGAGTGATGGGTGCTAGAAGTGGACAGGTCAGGAAGCCTCTGAGGGAAGTGGATTTTTAAGTTGGCACCAGAGTCCCATGAAGTTGCAGCCACATGCAACAGTGAGGGACTGCTTACAATAGACTGTTGGGTCAGTTTTTTTAAGGACCTTTTTTGGAACTTGATCCTATAGAGTCTCCCACCCACTCACTGCCTTCAAGCAACTCCCACTCAGTGGCCCTATAGGGCAGAGTAGAGCTGCCCCAATTTCTAAGGCAGTTTAAGTCTTCACAGTAAAGCAGGCTACCCCTCGTCCTCTGAGCAGCTGGTGGGTGGGTTTGAACAACAAACCTTTTGGTTCATAGCTGAGCGTTTTAACCACTGGGCCGTGAGGGCGCCTCTCCTGCAGAGTAGTGTTGGCAAATTGATTTCCCTTCAGGGGTTGTGCCTGCCTGGAGCAGGTGATAGTGAAAATCCACTTCATGTTGCAAGAACTAGAGGGCCTTGATGGATAAGCACTGCTGCCCTGGGCAGAAACAGCTACAACGTCACACAGAGAGAGGTCTGAAGATCAGGCAGGAGACGGGAGACTGAGGAGGGAGAATTTAATGTGTGGGAATGCAGCTTGCTTTAAGAAGAGGGCTCCAGAGGAAGGACACCCTGGCCCTGGTCTTGGGCCAGGAGACGCAGAAGCAGGGAATGCAGGGTCCGGCACACAGGTGTGTAGCCCAGGCGGCTCAGATGCAGGTAATCATACATGTCATGGTGGCTTATGGTGCCATCCGAATGCACGAAGCCAGGGTCGGCATCCAGGAAGTGGGCCCGTGGGTGGCCTGCCAGTGCCGCTCGTACCAGCTCGTTTACCCGTTGGTTCTTCTCCCGAAGCAGATTGGGGTGCTGGCCCCTTGGAAGCAGGCCCTGAGGAAGGACACCGAGAATTCTAACGAGAGGGCCTAGAAGCATCTGATCATCCTGTTCTCTGCACTAACTCTTCTCCGCCTTGCCACCCAGGGAGCTCCCTGTTGTGGTTAGTTGCCATCGAGTGAGTCAGTTCTGACTCACGGGGACCCCCGTAGTGGGTTTCCAAAGCTATAAACCTTCACAGGAGCAGAAAGCCTCATCTTTCTCCCTAAGCGTGGCTGTTGGGTTTTTGAACTGCTCACCTTGTGGACAACAGTCCAGTGCATCTTCTAGCCAACCACCCTACTGCTGGAGTCCTGGTGTGGTGCTGCAGGACAATACACTGGACTGCAAGGTCAGTTTGAGCAACAAGGTTGGTGGTTCAAACCTACCAGCCACTCCGCAGAAACCTCATACAGGGTTGCTATCAGTTAGGTGGTTGTTAAGTGCCATGGAATCGGTTCTGACTCATAGAGACCCTATATGGTATAGGGTTTTCAAGGCTCATCTTGAAAAGCCTCATCTTTCTCCCACGGAGCACCTGGTGGATTCAAACTCTTGATTTGCAGCCCCACCTGTAACCCATTACACTACAGAACTCCTTACAAACCATCTTCTTGTTAAGTGCCGTCAAGTCAGTTCTGACTTATAGCAATGCTATATAGGGTTTCTGAGGAGTGGCTGGTGGTTTTGAATTGTTGACCTTGTGGTTAGCAGTCCAGTGGTGATCCCACAGCACCACTACTGTAGGGCTGGGAAAATGGGAGGTTCAAGGGAACTTCCTTTAATAACGTCCCAGTTCCATTCAGCAAGTACACCCTATGTTTCACGCTTCTTTCCAAATACAAAAAAACAAAACAAAAAACAACCGAAGCCATCAAGTTAGTTCTGCCTTTATAAGGACCACTCATAAAAATGAGGCAAATGTGCCTGCTAGATATAATTCAGTCTAGCTTCAGCCCTGGAACATGTGACAACTTTAGGCTATTCGAATGGTACTTTAAGCTTTCCAGCAGCTCCAGAGACTCTGGCAGTCCCTTGGGCAAAAGGAGCTAATTGGTCCCTTAATCAGTCATCAAGCACATGCTCTGATGGGAGTAGGAGCAGCAAATTTTACCATGAGGTTATGCCTATAAATTGCCTAGAAGCCAGTACTCTGTAGTGAGGTGCCTGGAACCATGCCAGCTCTGGATATGTCTGAGGGGGTCCCAACCCATTACCCTTTTCCCTTCCCCACCCACCCAACCTCTTACCAGCACCACGACCCGGGCCTGGGGCTGCCGCTGGTTCACCAGATGCACGATGGCCTTGATGCCGCCAGTAACCTGCTCTGCCGTGTGCCCATGGTTGTTGGTACCCACCCAGACCACCACAATCTGTGGAATGGGAAAAAGACATGAGACCACAGAAAGGGTAGAGGTAAAGGATGATCTCTCTAGCTCGCCCTCCCAAGCCCAGCTTACCTTGGGCCGGATGTGTTCAAGTTCCCCATTCTCCAGCCGCCATAGTACATGCTGTGTGCTGTCACCACCAATGCCAAAGTTAAGTGCGTGCAGAGGAGAAAAGAGCTCCCGCCAAATCTGTGGGCATCAAGTGGTACAGGCAGAGAGGCACTGTCAATGTGCACCACCACTCTCTGTCCAGGTGTTAACTATACACCAATATGGAGGAGCCTTGCTTTATGGAAGCGCTCTGGTTCAACCTCACCTTAAGCACACCCCCACTATGGTCAAACCTCACTCTATGGAAACTTCTTGTAGTCTGTTATTAGAAGGTATCAGTTCCTGGTGAAAGACATCAGGCTCAGTGGAGGGTCAGCGAAAAAGGGAAAGGCCCTCAAAGAGAGATGGTCTGACAAGACTATGCAAGAATGAACTCAAACATGACAGTTGTGCGGACAGTGTAGGACTGGGCAGTTTTCATTCTGTTGAGCTTGGGGTCGTTATGAGTCAGAATTGACTCGACGGCACCTACCAAACCCCTTACAGGCAAGACTCGCTTTGTGGAAATCCATTCTACCTGAGCTTTTCAAGAAACCAACAACACAACTGAATCCTACTTTGTGGAAAGCTATTATGGTTGAACCTTGCTTAACGGAAGGAAAGAATATGGTTGAGCCCCGCTTTGTGGCACGCTATTACAGTAGACATTCACTTAGTGGAAGGCTGATGGAAACCCATTAGGGCTATGCACTATTTAAAGCAAACAATAACTTGTCTCACCAAGTGGCGATCTTGCAGAACAGCCTTACCCAAAGTCTCACGTTAACCCAACCTGACAAAGCCGGGGCACACAAGACCTCAGTAGAATGTTACACCTTACACGAAGATGCTCGGTGTCTGGTGCTACCTAAGGCCATTTCGGGCACCCCACGCCCCACCTGGCCTGTACCAGCTCTAGTCCAGTTGTGTCCCTAAGGACACAAGAAAAGGGTGAAGTTGTAGGTGGATGGGCCTCACCTCGCACTGGTGCATTAGCTGGACCAAGGAGTCCCCAATGAAAACCACTTCAGGTTCTTTATCTTTGCTGTCGGCCACAAATCGATGGTGCTGCGGGGACGCACGAGGAGATGTCAATGGAACGCTCGATCCTGAACCCACCCCACCGTGCTTCCTTAAGCTGCACCACCCCCCACTGCCCTCAATTTTCCAATTGTGTAGTGAGCGCTGCACCAACCCGAAGCCTTCCTGGGCCCCCCTCATCCCGGACTCCCGAGTATCGCTGGGGCCGAGGTCGCTTACCAGGGACATCCAGCGCCCGTCGCCTTGTACGTCCTGCACCGGTGTGGGCTTACTGGCTGGGTTCTCCTCCGCGCTCATCTTTGCGCCGCACCTACCGCAGGATGAACTAGCAAGGTCGGCCCCCGAGCACTCCAGGAGGGGGCAGCGCCACGCCCACACGCCCACCCCTCCAGGCAACAATGGACCCTTCCGACGACGCTCGCGCTCTAGCGGAGGGCAATGGCCGATCCAGGGCGCCGCCTCTTCTGCAGGCGGGGGGGAACCTTCGCTTAAAAGGAGAGGGGTGGAATTGAGATCCTCGATTCCCCTCCGGCGGCTCTACAGTGAGCTCGCCCAGCGCTGGCACTTCCGGACCCGGCCACTCACTCCTCCGCTGCGGCGGCGTCTAGCGTACCGGGCCACAGCAGGGCGGGGTAGAGGCGAAACCATCCAGAACCTGTCGGGAGGGGGGCGGAAAGACGGGAGAAGGGAGAAACCATTTCATTGGCTTCAGGGGGTGGGACGAGCCACAAGAGAAGCCGAGAGTAGGCGGGGAAAATTTAGCGCTCTTCCTTATGGGAAGGAACCATTTGCTAGGGTGAGGGGGGACGCACGAGAAATTTGCGTAAGGGACCACCTACTGTGAAGGGGTGTGCCCCATTCACGTGGTGGGGGGAGGGGAAGTGAGTGGACGACTTCATTCTTGGATCCCTGAAGGGATTAACCGTAAAAGCAAGAGGACGCTCCCATTTTCTACTAATGTGGGGAGAGAAAAAGAATATGGCAAATTAAAAATTAAAGGCTCAGTTCTAAGGAGACACTATAAGGCGCTCGCCACGCTTTAATAAGCCTCTCTGCTCGTGGGCCTCCCCTGCTCAAAAATACCAATTTTTGTTACAAAAATTAAACTTATGGTTGCACTCATGGCACTAGAGGCCCTGAGTAGAGGGAATGAGGTGCTGACGGAGAAAGGAAATTAGAGATGTCTGCAGGGTTCAGTCTGGCGTCCGGCCCGCAGTTCGTCTTTCAGATCTGTGGCCTCTGCTCCCCTCTCTAAACCCACAGGCTGACCAACAACTTTAGTTGGGTCTGTCTAGGCTCTGAAACCCAGATCCACAGCCAAGGCCCTCTAGAGTTGCCCACATCTCAAATTAATCCTGGCCTTTAGTCTTCCTAGATCGCCCTATTCTTAGGAACCAGGTGGGTATCTCCACTCGCCCCTGAACATCTTAGTCCCTTTCCCTGATGGAATCTTCAAATCTATTCATTCCTTCCAGGCAGGGTTATGATGGAGAATAGAGATGAATTATTTATTGTGGCTATGTTCTGTCTCAATCCGTTAAAATCTGAGCTGTATGAGGGCCTGGATTTTGGTTCCTTGGTGTCTGAAACGCAGGGCAGGGGGAGAAGAGTGGTAATGGACCCAAATAGTACCTGCAGCGTGAATATTAAATGAATGGGTCAGATTCTGGCCTTGTCCCATTGTGTTGAAGGAGACAGACCCAGTTAGAGTTGAAAGAGGTGGGGAGAGGGGGTCAAGATTGTGACTGAGGGAAATGGCAGGAGACATTTGGGAACAGAATTCAGTCAAGGGATGGGCGGGTAGCATCCTAGAAGAAATAGTATCTGAGCTACATTTTGAAAGAATAGGAAAACTGAACAAGCAGAAAGAAAAGACTTACAGACAGGTAAGACATCTTATATGAAGGGAAATATCCTCGCATAGCTTGATTTCAAAGTCTGAGGTGAAATATGTAGACAATTAAGCTAGAAAGGTAGAGGTGCAGTTCCTGGAACAAAGCTTAGTGAGAAGCAAAGGTTAGAGGCATTCATTATTCATTCAGTACACACAATTTCAAGTAAAATGCACTGGCTCATTTCATTCTAAAAGAATTGGTCACCATACCAAAAAGAACTGGTCAACATTCAGTCATTTCAGAAAGTAGCATATGATCAAGAATTTATTTAAGAAAAGAAGTCCAAGCTACACTGACCACGTTGGTAAAAAAACAAGGCTCCAGGAATTGCTAGAATACCAAGATATTTCAACAAATGGATGCAACATTGGAAGCGCTCACTAGTCCTTGCCCAGAAATTTGAAAGATAGCCAGAGATACATATTTGTAGAGATACAAATATGTATCACCAAAGAGAGGTGATCCAAGTTAATGTGGACACTGTCAAACAATACCATTAACATGAGATGGAAATAAAGTTTTCCTGAAGATAATAAAAAACTATTGTAGCTTGGAAATGTCAGAAATTAAAGCCAGATTCAGAAGAGGAGATGGAACAAGGGATATCATTGGTGATGTCAGATGGAGTTTAGCTGAAAACAGAGTATACCAGCATGATGTTTACCTGTGTTTTAGTGATTATGCAAAAGCATTCAACTGTGTGAATCATAACAAATTATGGTTAAAATTGTGAAGAATGGGAATTCCAGAACATTGTGTTCATACAGAGCCTATATATAGATAGATCAAGAGGCAGTCCTTTTGACAAAACAAGGGTTTTAAATCAGGAAAGGTGTGGGGTCAATCTGTATGCTGAGCAAATAATCCAAGGAACCCGGACTATGTATTTAAAAATCAACAATTTAACATCACAGTTGGAGGAAGACTCATCAATTTATGCAGATGATACAATTTTGCTTGCTGAAAGGCAAGAGGATTTGAAACACTTACTGAATAAGATAAAAGACTACAGTACAGCCTTCAGTATGGATTGCACCTCAACATAAAGAAAATCAAAATTCTCACAAGAAGTTAATAAGCAACACCACGATAAAGGGGGAAAAAACCAACCATTTGTCAAGGATTTGATTTCACTTGGCTCCACAATCAGTTCCTACGGAAGCAGCAGCCAGAAAATCCAGCAACACATTGCATTGGGCAAATCTCCTTCAAAAGATCCCTTTAAAGTGTTAAAAAGCAAATGTATCATTTTGAGGACTAAGGTGTATCTTATCCAAGCCATGACATTTTCAATCACATCATATGCATGTGAAAGCTGGACAATAAATAAGCAAGAATGAGGAAGAATTGATGAATTTGAATAATGGTGTTAGCAAAGAATATGGAAAGTATCATGAACTACCAGAAGAATGAACAAATCTATCTTGGAAACAGTACAACCAGAATGCTCCTTAGAAGTGAGGTTGGTGAAATGTCACTTCATGTACATTAGACACGATAGCAGGATGGATCAATCCCTATACAAGGATGTCATACTTGGAGAAAGTAGAGGATCAGTTTAAAAAAAAAAGAGGAAGACTTTCAAAGAGATGTATTGACACGTGGTTGCAACGGTTATGAGAACGGTATTTTGTTGTACTTAGGATCATTATGCGGCAGAGCCTTCACCAGTTGTTGTACCAATAATAGGAGGGCAGTACTATCTATCATCAACCCCATTTTACTGATAAGGACACTGAGGCCCTGAGTGGTTAAAAGTTTTTCCAAGGTCACTCAACTCAAATGTGTCAGTTTAGAGGTTTGAATCTAGATAGTCTAGCTCCAGAAGGTATTAAATTAACTGTCTAGGGACGAAGTGTGACCTCTGGCCACGCCCTGGGTTGGGGGCTACTGCTTGGGGACTAATTACGCAACTGGCTACTTTAACTTTCCTCAGAACCCAACTCCTCCCCTCATTTCCAGCTCCAGGCACAAGACCTGCCAATAATGGTGGAAACCAATCAGTATTTTTAGGAGGGGGCGGACCTAGTGAACTTCACAGTCAATTGGTGAATGGGAGATGTCTAATTAGAGGCCAGGATGGCCAAACTTCGTCTCTCATACTTTAGACATATTGTCAGGAGGGAACAGTCGCGGGAGAAGGATATCATCGTGTTTGGTAAAATAGAGGGTCAGAGAAATAGAGGAAGACCCCCAATGAGATGGCCAAGCGGCAGCATCGATGGAGTCAAATGTGGCAACAGTAGTGAAGGTGGCCCAGGATCGGACATTGTTTCATTCTGCTGTGCATAAGGTCGCTCTGAGTCAGTGCAGACTCATAGCACCTGACAACAACAACAAGGACAAATGAGAGAGGTTTTTGAAAGTGAGGCTGGGAGGGGCGGGGCTATAACTGGCACTTGAGCGCCTGTCTCGTGCACTGTGGCCTCGTGCACTGTGGCCTCGTGCCGCCTAGGCGCAAGGAAACTGCGCATGTGTGTGTTGCGCCTGAGGCCTAGTGGTGTGAACCCCGGAAGAACACATGGTGGCTTGTTGAACTGAGGTCACGGCGGAAGAGAAGCCATTGCACCGGCAGCCACGTGGGGTGGGCGAAAGACTGGGTTCGTCCGAGCAGGAGAAAGAGAGGTGTGCCTCTCCATTCATTTCCAAGAACCTGTAGCAACCCCTTCTACAGTCTCCCCCTACCCACTTCACCGCTTCCCTAACTTAACTGCCCCGCCCTACCTGTGCCCTACCCTAGGCCCCTTCTGACCCCGCCTCTGTCCTGATTATCACTCCTTTGAAATCAGAACAAACATCAGGTGATCTTCTGCCCTCCCGTTTTCTCATCTCTTCAACCTCTAATCTTGCTGTATTTTGCTGTCCTCTACTATCCCTCTTTCCACGTTCTGCATTTTCCTATACCTCCTCTCTTCCCGGGTTTCTCCTGTGTCCAAAATTCCTTTCTGGGTCCACAAATCCCTTCCCTGTCTCATGATCCCTTCCTCATCCCCCTCTTTTTCCTGTTTCCCCATGTCCCTGTTCCCAAGAACCCTTTCTACATTCCCTGACATCACTTCTCATTTTCCACTGACTCTTTGACCCTTCTCTACTCCCATGCTCCTTCCCTGATCTGCAAGCCTTTTTTAGTTCTCCTTCCCTGCTCAGTTTCTTGGATGCCTCTCTCCCCCATACCATACCTTGACCTGTCTCCTCTAATTGCTTATCTTTGTCTAGTAACCCAGGCCCTGGAACTCTGATCCTGGTTCCCTCCCAGCTGTGTCTCTGTCCCCCTCTTTTGCTCTCTGTCTACTCCTTTTCTTTCTCTTGCCCCACTAAATAGTACCTTCTTCTTACTCCAAGGAGTTCTGGTGTGGCGCTGTAAGATAAGCACTGGATTGTTAACCACAAGATTGGTAATTCAAACCCAACATTAGCTCCTTGGAAAGGCTATACAGAGTTGCTGCTATGAGTCGGAACTCACTTGACAGTGCTTAACAACAACCTCCACCCAAATTGTCTCCTGTTCTCACTTTTAGGTTCTTGGTTTATCAGCATATCAATGGCTCCCATGTCTATATCTTCCAGGACACCATGGACACTCGGGGGTCAGCTCCCCAGCCTTTCCAGCAGCCTGAGAAACCTGGTCGTGTCCGCCGTCGGAAGACCAGAAGGGAGCGTAATGAGGCCCTGATGGGCAGCCGCCGGTCAGTGACCCGTCAGGATCCTCCAGTGGGCAGTCAAGAGCCAGATGTGACCCGTCGGAAGGCACCCTTCGGAACTCTCCAGAATCCTCTGGCCCCTGCTGCCCCCAAGCTCGTGGTCATAACCCAAGGCCGGCTGAGCCGAGAGCACTGGGGTCTATTCAATCATGAGGTTAAATCGTTGGACGTGGCACGACTACTTAGCAGTAAGGCCCTGGAGTCAAGTACCCCTCCACTTCCCACCAGTCCCTCCCCAAGCCTGGGCAACATCCAAGAACCGGCCCCACAGTCAAGGGGTAAAGAGAACCAGTTGCCTGGAGGCTATGAACCAGGTCCACCCAGTTCCCCAGAGCTCTTAAGCTTGGGTCAGCTGCTGCGGGAGTTGCGGTACCAGCTGATTCTGCCCCAGGCCTTCCCCAGGAGGAACCTGGTACAAGAGACCAGGGACCTCATCGTGGGCACCTTACACAGCTGCCATGGCTGTGTACCTGACCTGGGCCTGCTGCTTCGGGGTGGTCAGCCACCCTTGCCAGGTGAGCCTACCTCCTGCCTCCTGTACTCCCTCCCTCTCACCTCATCAGCTCTAGGCCAGCTGTCCCCCATACTTTTTTCTTTGTGCCAGGAACCAAGCCCAGGGACCCTGAGAGACGAAGGATGACACCTTCATGGATCCACAGCCCTGAACAGGCCCCAGGACAGGGGTGGCAGAGCAGGCGACAGGGGCCAAAGGAGCTCACCTTCACCATGGCTCACACCACCAGCACGCCCACTCCACACAGGGCCAGCCTGACACCAACAAGAGGCCCCTGGCTACCCCCACTGCCTTCATTACCTTCACCATCTGGGGCATCCTCGGGTCCCCCAACAGCCTTTGACTTGCTAAAAAGCATCTGGCTGGTAGCCACCCCGACCCCTCCCCGGCCCTCAGGGACTAGCCTACCACAACCTCTGCTTCAGCCACCATCACCTTTGTTGCCCAGAATCTCGGCCCTAGACTGGAGTCCCAGTCCCCCTGCCCCACTACCCAGCCTCTCCTGGGTAGTAGCCCAGAGCAGCCCTGAGGCCTGGTCATTTCCACCTATGAGACTGTACTGAGAGGACTGAGCCTAGGAATCCCAAACTCGCAGTCATCCCAATAAAGTATCTTCTTCATGGTCCTCTGGATTTTCAGTGACACTTGCTACTTGTTAAGTGCTGTTGAGTTGGCTCCGACTCATAGCCATCCTGTGTGCAAGAGAATGAAACACTTCCCAGGCCTGCGCAGTCCTCAGAATTATTATGCTTGAACCCATTACTGCTACCATTGTGCCGATTCATCTCATTAGGGGCTGTCCTCTGTGTTGCATAATGTCCTCCAGGAACTGGTCCCTCCTAATAACATAGCTGAAGTGTGAGAGACAAGTCTTGTCATCCTGGGTTCTAAGGAACATTCTGGCTGTATTTCTTTCAACACAGATTGGTATGTTATTCTGGTAGATCGTGGTACTTTCATAACCCAAATATTATCAGTTTTTTGATCTTCCCTATTCATTGTCCAGCTTTCGCATGCCTATGAGGCTGTTGAGAATATCATGGCTTGGGTCAGATGCACCTTGATCCCCAAACTGGTATCTTTGCTCCTGAACACTTTAAACAGGTCTTGTGTAGCAGATTTGTCCAATGCAATACATCGTTTGATTTCTTGACTGCTGCTTCCATGAGTGTTGATAGTAGAGCCAAGCAAAATGAAGTCTTTGACAACTGCAATCTTTACTCCATTTATCATGGTCCACGTGTGTGGATTTTTGGTTTCTTTACATTTGTGGTTCAATCCATACTGAATGTTGTGGTCTTTGAAATTCATCAGTATTTTAAGTTCCCTTCACTTTTCAGCAAGCAAGGTTGTATCATTTGCTTATTACAAGTTGTTAATGAGTCTTCCTCCAATCCTGATGTCACATCTTCAGTTTCTCAGATTACTTGCTCAGCGTGCAGATTGAATAAGTGTGGTGAAAAAATAAGTGGGTGCACACCTTCCCTGATTTTAAACCATTTGATAACCCTTTGTTCTGTTGAAGTGACTGCCTCTTTCTCTAAATAAGGTTCCTCAAGAGCATAATCAAATGTTCTGAAATACTCATTCTTTGCAATGTTATTCATAGCTTGTTATGATTCACACAGTCAAAAGCTTTTGCATAGTCAATAAAACACAGGTACACATCTTTCTGGTATTCTCTGCTTTCAGAGAGCCATCAGCATTGATAATCCCTCATTCCATGTCCTCTTCTGAATCTGGCTTGCGTTTCTGACAGTTCCCTCTCGACATACTTTTGCTGCTGTTTTTGAAATATCTTCAACAAAATTTTACTTGCATGTGATATTAATGA